ATCTGGCAACCATCAAAATGCTCTGTATCCATGATTCTCTCTCTGTTCTTTTTGTTGGCTTAATTTGTTTTTAGATTAAATTGTTGACAGATTTGTCTCTTTTTTCTTTTGCCATTTTATTGTTCATAGTTTTGATATGCTTATTTTTAAATAAGTCCCTTTAACCTTTCACATAATAATGGTTTGGTGATGATGAATTCCTTTAGTTTTTTTCATGTTTGAGAAGCTCTTTATCTTCCCTTGGATTCTAAATGATAGCTTTGCTGGGTAGAGCAATCTTGGCTGTAGGTCCCTGCTTTTCATGACTTTGAATATTTCTTGCCAGTCCCTTCCAGCCTGCAAAGTTTCTTTTGAGAAATCAACTCACAGACTTATGGTAACTGTCCTTCATGGGAACTAGCTCTTTTTCTCCTGCTGCTTTTAAGATTCTCTATCTTTAACCTTTGGCATTTTAATTATGATGTGTCTTGGAGTGGGCCTCTTTGTGTTACAGAACAAACAAGGGGGGCCTGGGATGGTATACGATTATTGAAAGAAGGCCCCGGGTCCGTTATGTCCGCCGCCCTAGGAAAGACGTCTCTCAATGCCAGAGATTCGTGAAAAGGAAAGGAAATGTTTATTTAATGCTATACAGACTTCAAGTAGTGACCTAATGTCTTCATCAAAAATCCTAAGGTCCCTTAAAACACCCACAAACAGACACAGTCCTGCCTTCCTTCCCCCTTTGCCCAGTCCAGAGTACCGTATCTCAGGAAAGGAAATAGAAGTCCATGGCTCAGGCAGTCCTCTGGTTCTTCCCAGTTAATACTCCATCTCGACTGGGAGACCTCCCTGGGTTCCCAGCACCCTCAGCTGAGTCGCCGGGATATCTGCTAAAACTAGGTGGTGGTTCCCCTTCTAAAGCTGCGGGAGTCTCCACTCTGTCACAGGCACGTGGTCCTCTCTCCCAGGGCCACGGGAGTCTCCACTCTGCCAAAGCCGCGTGGTTCTCTTTCCTAAAGCAGCATGGTTCTCCCTCTCAATGGCCGAGGTCCTCCCCATTCTGTTAAAGCCACATGGTTCTCTCCTCAGGGCTGCGGGAAGGGAGAGTCCTCACTCTGCCAAAGCCGCGTGGTTCTCCCCCTCCGGGATGCGGCAGTCTTCACTCTGCTAAAGCTGTGTGGCTCTCTCTACAATGGCTGTGCTCCTCCACAGCCACATGGTTCTCTCCCTCTCAGGGCTGCACATGGTTCACCTCCTCAGGGCTGTGCATGGCTCACCTCCTCAGGGCTGCACATGGTTCTCCTTCCTAAAGCAGCATGGTTCTCTCTCCTAAATGGCCACCAAGTCTGGGTTTTAAATCCCCGCGGCCAATCTTCCTCTGCAGCCCCATTTCCAACTCCTCCCACACTCGGCTTCACATGCCAGGATTCATATCCTTCCAGCTTTACTGGGCTGCCATCATGAGTCTGGGCAGGTGTGGCCCCATGTCCTGGAGCCAATCTTCTCTGAGCTCCCACGCAGGCGCTGTAGCTTGGGATATCTGCCCCCAGTCACGTGTTGGTGGGGGAAGTTACTTCCATTCCCCTGGCTCAGAGATGATCACAGCTATTTAACATATCCATGCAACCAGCCAAGGCTATAGATATGTTAAATGACCACACCAGAGGGTAGCTGCAAGGCTGTTGCTTTGCAAAGCAGCTCTCAATGGCCCTGCTCCATTTGTCCCTTCCCCCAACCCACACTGTGGGCGGCGGGGGGGGGGTGTGGAGACATCTTAAAATCTCCTGGACACCTTAAGTTCTGGACCCCATTTCAAATGCCCATTTGGGGTCCCCCCCTCTTGGCTGCACCCTGTAACATTTGTACCCATCTTATTTGTGACTCTCTGTGCTTCTTGGACTTGCATGTCTATTTCCTTCACCAAATTATGTTTCTTTCATTATTTTTTCAAATAAATTTCTAATTTCTTGCTCTTTTCTTCTTCTGGCACCCCTATGATGTGAATGTTGAACCTCTTGAAGTTATCCCAAGGCTGCTTATACTATCCTCATTTTTTTGGATTCTCTTTTTCTTCTTGTTGTTCTGATTGGTTGTTTTTCACTTCCTTATGTTCCAAATCATTGATTTGATTCTTGGCTTCATCCACTCTATTATTGTTTCCCTGTAGATTGTTCTTTATTTCAATTAGTGTATCCTATGTTTCTGACTGGATCTCTTTAATGCTGTTGAGGTCCTCACTAAGTTCCTTGATCATCCTTGTAACCAGTGTTTTGAACTCAGCATCTGATAGATTTCTTATCTCCATTTCATTTAGCCCTTTTTCTGGAGTTTTGATCTGTTCTTTCATTAGGGCCATGTTTTTTTGCCTCCTTATTTTGGCAGCCTCCCTGTGTTTGTTTCTATGTATTAGGTAAAGCAACTTTGACTCCATGTCTTGGTTGTGTGACCTAATATAGTAGGTGTTCTGTAGGGTCCAATGGCAAAGCTTCCCCTATCATCCAAACTGGGTACTGGAGGTATGCCCTTCATGTGGTCTAAGTATACCCTCCTCTTGTATTTGAGGGTTGGCTGCTATTGGCAGATTAATGGGAGAGATTTACTAAGGCCAGTCAGCTTCAAGGATTGGCTGTGACCACTGACCACCAACCTCTGCCCTCCGTGTAGTATCAGCTGTGCAGGGGTGTGGCGGTGGTGCTCTGATGTGGTCTGTAGCTGTCCACTGGGTCATTGGCCCTGGGGTTCCCAGGTGGTGTAGGCCAAGGTAAGCCCTCGCCTGTGTTTTGCTGGAGCTACCTTGCCTGAGCCATAAAGCAATCTGAAATGGCTGCTACTTGTTCTGGGCTTGGAGTTTCACAGGTGAAGTCAAGCTGTGAATCTAGACTGGCTGCTGCTAGTGCTGGGTCTGGGACTCACTGAGGCCAGCCATTGCTTTTTTGAAAGGATTGAGGAATTTGCAAAGCTTGAGCCAAGACCAGCCATTCAATTGGAAATGCAGTTTGGGTAGACCAATAAGTTGAGTGGGGCAGAGTCTCTGGGAATCTCTAAGCAGATCAAATAGTTTTAGCCAGGTTGAAGGAGTCTCATATATGACACCAGCTTGCTGGCTCTGTGGGGTAGAATTAGAAAAGGGACAATGGCCTTGCTTACCTTGATGTCAGACACTTCAGTTTCTCCTTTTAAAAATGCCACTGGTGCTCTTTAAGCTGTTATCCTGGTGCTGGAGCTCAGAGGGAGTGAGTCTGTGTAGGTGAGTCCACGTGTGGGTTCTTTAAGAGGAACCGCTTGGGTGTCTGGAAGTTTCTTCTACCAACTCATTCCCTGTTAGTTTTTGCAGCCAGTAGTCGTAGGGCCTTATCTTCCTGGATATGGAATGCTGGGCTGGGAAGCCTGGTATGTGGCTGGGACTCCTTGCTCCTGAGATATCCCTCTTGAATTTTCATCCACCACACATGGGTGTGGGACCAGATGTGGAACACGCTGGTCCCCTCCTACCAGTCTGGATGGATGTGGTTTCTTTAATTCCATAGTTATCAGACTTTCATTCAACTCAATTTCTGACAGTTCTGAGTGATGGTTGTTTTATATTTTGTAATTTTGATGTGGTTGTGTGTAGAGGCAAGCCATGTCTGCCTATGTCACCATCTTGACCGGCAGTTCCCATACTGGGGCTTTGAAAAAGGCTGTGTGAACACTAAGGCTTTTGTATAACTGGCAATATTTTAGACTAGTTAATATTTTGTTGTTTTGGATTTTAAGTAGCATCCTTGCTTTTCTTTTATCTTTTTGGATAGAAAAGTACCATATTTTGCTGTGTATAATGCACACTTTTTTCCCCAAACTTTTGAGGGAAAAATAAGGATGTGCATTATACACAGGTAGTACTAATTTTGTATCTGCATAAATGTTTTTAATTCTCTTATTTATGCTTGTGCATTAAACATGTAACTCTAGAAAGCAGTAATGACATCAGAATGTTCAAAAATAAATAACTGAACAATAAAAACCAAAAGTATTTAATGAAAAATGCTAAGATTCCTTGATAATACAAAAAACAGATATCTAAATATAAATACATAAAAATTGAATTAAAAAATTAAAATAAAAGATTTTTTTTCCTGAAAATTTGGGTCAAAAATGTGGGTGTGCATTATACAAAGCAAAATATGGTCATTCATAGAGAGACAAAATCACCTTTTGCTTTCTTTTAATTGCTCTGACACCTTCTATATGGTATTTTGGCCATAGGAAGACATTCCACAATTCGCAAAGATGAAAGACAGAAAACTACAAGGAAGCAAAGCACAGAGATGTTTGGGTGGCTCTGTATAGAAGTTACCCAGGCAATTCAAATAAAACATAAACTCTACGTAATACAAAGTTATGTCTGAGTTTGGACAGGCTGGTCAAAGATAAGAATACCAAGAGACTGTACCCTATTCCCATTCCTCCTATTGACAAATGACACACTATGTTTCTCCTTCAAGTTCTACAAAACACTTAATAAAGACAAATTGTTCCCTTCAGTGTATCTTCTCCTGAAAGCTTTTGCTTGTCATTTCGTTATTAAAATCTGTGACATTATTCCAATGTTGTCTATCTTAGTAAAGGATCAGCAAGTACAGGGGATAAGCATAGCAAAGATATGTTATAATTTTGATTTTGGTGTACCCAGTCTCATGTTCTTTCCTCTGATCAGATTCCCATCTGATCGTATATTCATGCTTTTCTTAGGAGAGGTATTCCTGATACTGGTGTCATTTACTTTTGCTTTAGTTTACTGATTCTCAAACTTTAGTGTGTTTAAATGTAACAGAGGAGCTAACTTAAATTGCAGGTTGCAAGTCACCAGCCCCAAAGATGTTGATTTAGCAGAACTAGGAAAGAATTTTAATAGGTTCACTAGTTGTTGAGATGCAGGATGCTGTAAGATCATATTGTGAACAATGCTGGCTTAGTGAATTTAAGAAAACATGTTTCTTAAGTTATGTGTGCGTATTAATTTCTGTTTTCTATTTCAGAATACAGTTGTATGTTTCAGATATCAGAATGTATGAGAAATATTTAGAGGCAGAGCAAATGAAAATCTACCAGGTATGTGAAGGTCATAGTGATTTAAAGAAAAGCTTTAAAATGGTATTAAAATATGTAATTCCTCTAGGCAACTTACTTTTTTTTTTCTTTTTCTTAACACCTTAAGTAGAAAACAGTCAGGGGTCAATCTTATTTGCATGACTCATCAGTGGAACAGCTAGGCTGTAGTTAGCCAAGTGAAGAGATGGATAGGATCCTATTTTTAGTCTCTCATCTTTTTGTTACTTTTGAGGAAAAAAGAAATATCATTGAGATTGGTCAAGAAATCTTCTCCTTTTATTGTGGTAAAATATGCATAACATAAAATTTACTCTTTTAACCATTTTAAGTGTATAGTTCTGTGGTATTAGTTACATATACATGTTGTATAACCACCACCACCATCCATCTTCAGAACTTTTCATCTTCCCCAACTGAAACTCAGTACTTATTAAACACTAACTCCCTGTTCTTCTCTTCCTCCAGGTCCTGACAACAAATATTCTTCTTTTTGTCTCTGTGAATTTGATATTCTAGGTGTCTCATATAAATGGACTCATACAATATTTGTACTTTTGTGACTGGCTTATTTCACTTACTATAGTATCTTCAAAGTTCATCCATATTGTAACATGTGTCAGAATTTCCCTTCTTTGTTAAGGCTGAATAATATCCCATTGTATGCAAATGTCACATTTTGTTTATCCATTCATTGGATTGTATCCAATTTTGACTTTTGTAAATAATGCTACTATGAACACGGGTAAATATCTGTTAAAATTAGAAGCCTCTTTTCTAATTTAGGGGAAAAAATTACTAGAAGTTAATTGCCATGCTTTTTAGATGCATATAGTTTTTCCATCCTGAGCCATCCAACTCATAAAGTGGGTATAATACTGCTGTAGTACCTACTTGCCGAACACAAAAATCCCATGGTGGAAGGTTTGCTGCATTATTATTTATTTATGTTCTGTTCTGACACAAATAATGTACTTGCTCAACAGACAGTAAAGTCTGCAATTGAAATGCTGCTCCGGAAATGTAGTACAGGTTTGCCAACCAGTGACCTGGAACCAATTTATATGCAGTAGCACTACAGCATACGTAATACAGAAGTATCAGAAAAAATAAAAATACATTGGAGTACCCATTAAACCTTTAGCAGACTTGTTTCTGGCTCAGCATTTTCTGTCCTAACAAGAAAGAAATGAAGGAAGTCTTATCAGTAATGCAGAACCAAAAGTGTCGAGTATGTTAGAAGTGCTTTCAAAAGAAGGTAAGTATAGGAAGAAGGAAAGCAAAGAGAACCAGAGCCTTTCATGGATCATTTGGTTAAGTGGAGGACAAGGAATGGCAGAATGTTGCCTTGGGGTATCACCTCTGGGCAGTGTTTCCTGACTCCCCCAGTCTGTGTTGGTACTCTCATAGCACCCTATGACTGACTAGCTCCTTATAACACCCCTTTCCTACTGAGTGTAAAAGGAAAGAAAGCACTTTCCTAACCCTCCTGAAGTTTATACTCTGATTATAGAGGGCTATTCAATAAAAAACCAAGCAACCAAGAAACAAGAGATATAATAAACAGCAGAGATAAAGATGCTTTGGAGAAAAAGGGAATCTATACCGCTGAAGCATTTGGAAGCTTCTCAGAATATGGAAGGGAAAGAGTTTAGCTGGAATTTGAAGAACAGATTGGATCTAGATGGGTGGAGAAGAGAAGGAGGGGCTCTCTGAGAGAGGTTATCTTGCATACATTAGTCCAAAGATGGAATGCAAAACTTGGGCAGATTTTTTTTTTTGGCTGTACTAGAATGTTCTTTTTCAAAAAAAAAAAAAGCTGAGAGTTTTAATACAAGCACTCCTTTATAAACACTTCCACACTTATTAAAAAAGCAAAAAGCTTCCTTTTCTTAAGTTTTTTAAAGATAACTAGACATCACAGTTTAATAAGATAACCTACCTATTCAAGGACTTGAATACACTTGTTACAGTGTCAGAAACAATTTAGTCACCTCTTAACTCTGCAAATTGAGCCAGTCTGTGTGAAACTCACAGGTTAAAAGTTTGCCAAACTAGTTAAGAACATAAGAGACTTCATGACATTTTATATGTAGTGAACTTATTGGTGGTTTTGCAGATTTCCTCTTATCTTGAATCAGCAGTTCTAAAGAGTGGCTCGAGCTTGCAAATGTGCACAATAAATACTCACTAAAGAGCAATTAGAACAAATAACCATTGAGCATTCAATGAAGAGGAAATTTACACATTTCCCTAAAGTAATTAACATTTTTTTTCTTGTTTTCTTTAAATTTTGTTTTTACCTAAATTACCTTACTGCTGACCTTAGTGAAATAGTTTAAAATAAAAGTCCCTAGAGTTGGATCTTTCTTGATTAAATGCTAGAAATACTAAAGTTAATTAAACCGAAACTATATTTGAAGCTCTTAAGTACAGATCAGTGGTCCTGACATTTCTAAGGAAGTCTTTTTCAAGGCTCACATTAGGCCTGGATTTTAAGACAAGGAGAGCCATACCATTACCCTGGAGCTCCATCTTGTACCTGTATGTTTGTAAAGACAAAACACCCAGAGGGCTAAGGACTTGGAAGCATTATTTTAGTTTGGGAGGACTTCTTCCTTCTCATTTTGCTTTAGAAACAGCTAGTACTGCCAAGTGGAGTTGAGGTGAGGCTTCACAGAAATTTTTTGAAAGTCAAGCCTGTAGTTGAGAAGAAGCAAGAATTTCTAGAAATTAAATGTTGATAACCAGAGAACGTCAACTGAAAGTGCTATGTTGCTATCATCACCAAAGCACGTTTTTTACAAATACAATGGCTCTTAACTGTGACCATTTTCCAGTGGAATAAGAACTTGGAGGTAATAATAAAAGCATCCCTTTTTACCTTCCCCTCTATCTTCTACCCCCCCATCCCAGGAGTGAATTTCATATAACTGTTTTAATGATAGAAGTGTGATTGACTCATGTTAGAACCACATTTCATGCCTGTCTTAAAGACCTGTCAGTGCAAAATTATATACCCCAAATGCTGCAAGACAAGCATAATATCATTATAAATAGTGGTGGTGGTTTACTATAATGTGCAAATAAAGAATATCCATACAGTTTTTCTTTTCCTTTTATTATTTGGAAAGAGAAATCAGAGAATCTTGGATCAGAAAAGAAATAAGAAATGTTTTGATTTTTTGGCTGATGAGAAGATGTATAGTGCTAAGAATACAATAAATACATAAAAATAGAATGAAGACTATTCATTGTTAGTGTAGTGGTTTAAATAAATAATACATGCATGAAGCAGAAACCTTTACAGCAGCTGAACAAAATGCAGAATTCTTATTTCAAGATAAACTGAAGCCAGTAAGAAAGTCCAAAGCTGATTAGTGTTAATATAGGATTAAAGATAATAAATTTCCAATTCAGATCTGGATGTGTGAATTAGGTCTACATGAAGATAATAAAGAAATGAGAAAAACATTCCATTCTATATGTTTATTAAAAGAAATATCTTGCTATATAGTAAAAAATCAAACTTGTAAAAAACAGAAAATAAGAAAACAAATTTTCTTAGATGGTAACATTGATTAAACTCAATTAATTTAATACAAGTCTGGTAGGGTGGCTCCTAATTCAGTCTGACTGGTATCCTTATAAAAACAATCAGACATAATGGGACACCAGGGATACCTGTACACAGAGAAAAGTCTGTGTGAGATCACAAGGCAGCCATCTGAAAGCCTAGGAGAGAGGCATCAGAATGAACCAACATGCTGACATGTGACCTTGAACTTACTATCTCCAGAACTATGAGAAAATAAAATTTTTGTTATTTAAAAAAAGGTAGTAGGGTAATCACACTGTCATCAAAAAACTGGATTGATAATATTTATGCTAAAATAAAACAGTCTTTATGATTAAAAATAAGAATTGAAACAACTAACAACCAGAAGCAATTTATTTATTCAGCTCACAAATACACACTGAACACCTACAACGTTCCAGATATGCTGTGGGCTGGGTATATAGCGGTGAAAAATCAGGCATGACCACTGACCTTACAGAGTTTATAATCGAGTGAGAGTGACAGACTTAAATGCATTAATTACAATTAGGGAAAATGGTATGGAATAATAGTACATTGTGTTATGGTTATGATGGTATATCAAGTCTGTGAAGTAATTTGAAGGTACAACATGTAATCTTTTTAAAAGCTGAAAAGGCTAAGAGAGGAAAAATTCTAGTATTGGATCAGTTTTAGTTTTTATATTAAGTAATGCTTAACAGATCTTTTAGTGGGTTATTAGAAAGTACACTCACATATACATAACAGTAAGTCTACAGCATTTCATGTCATTTTTCCAGCCCGTACAACCAAGGAAGAAACTCACAATTCTGAATCAGATACTGGCAGTAGGGAACTTTGCTGCTCCCATTGTATCAAAGACCACAGTTTCAGAATTATCAGCCTAGAACAAGGATTAGTTGACTGCAACCTGTTTTTGCATGGTCAGTGAGCTAAGGATGGATTTTACATTTTTAAATGGTTGAAAAATAAATACGAAGATAAATAATTTCTTGTGAGAGGTGAATTATGTAAAATTCAAGTTTCAGCATCCATGAATAAAGGATAATTGGGGTACAGCCACAATTTTTCTATTGTCTATGGCTGTTTTTGTGCCACAAAGGCAGAATTGAGTAGTTGTGACAGAGACATTATGACCTGCAAAGCCTAAAATATTACTATCTGGACTTTTACAGAAAAAATTTGTTGACTCCTGGCCTAGACTACAACAATTTAAATGACTCTGTTTTACAGCATCACCAGTTGTCAATGTTACAACTTTTCTTCAAAGGTCTTAGAAGAAATAAGACCCCCATAATAATGACTAAAACTCTTTGTGATGGTTAATTTTATGTGTCAACTTGACTGGATCATGTGATGCCTAGGCATTTGACTAAACATTATTGCTGGGTGTGTCTGAGGATGTTTCTGGATGAGATTAGCATATGAATTAGTAGACTGAATAAATCAGATTGTACTCCCCATTTTGGATGGGCACTAAGGGCTTGAGTAGAACAATAAGGCAGAGAAAGGATTTGTCTTTGTTCTGACCACTTAGGGCATCGGTCTTCTCCTGCCCTTAGACTGAGTCTTCCATCATAGGCTCCCCTGGTTCTTAGGCCTTTCGACTTGGACTGAACCACATTAACTCTCTAGCTACATCTCCAGCTTGCAGATGATATAGATTATGAGACTTTAGCCTCCAAAATTACCTGAGCCAGTGCTTTGTTATAATAAATTAATAAATTAATCCCTCGCTCTGTGTGTGAGTTTGTATGTGTGTACACCACATATACTATTGGTTCTGTTTCTCTAAACAGAGTTAAGTTTCCTTGACTATTAACATTCTTGTTTACAACTGCATAATAATGGACTGGTGCATACAGGAAGGCTAATACTAATCAATTAGTGTTGTACCAAAGAAATTAAGGGTGATTTTTAAAAATGTGATGTGCCGATCTATGAATGAACATTTATTT